TCTTTTTTCTCGCATTGGCCTATCGAGTCACATGTGTCATCATATCGGTGCATAGAATCTACTATATATTTGACATCTTGGAAAAACATGTGTCACTTTTCCAATAAAACTACGACAGCTACAGAGATGAAAGTTGGCAAGTACCTGCAAAACGATAGATAGGTCCCCATGACAGAGCCGATTTTTTTATTTATTCATTTCCTGAATTTAGAAAAATATATTTGACAAAAAGTTCCCGTCCTTCTTTTGCTTTAGTGATTATTCCACTGAGACCTAAACAAATCTGCGTAGCTGTCCTTCACAGCGGAAGTGCCGGAAGTGATATTTCGCGAGGCGCATTTTGTTCCGAGAGTATAGATCTAGAACTTCTAATTTTTTGCATCTCTCAAGAGTTATTGCTCCATTCCAGTAGGCCAATGACTTTCAGGTGATGTTAATGCACCGATCATTCCTTTCATCGAAAGGGGACTCAGCTAGTATAAAATGTGTTGCATCCAGGTGAAATCGGGCACTAATCAAAACAATAAAATCGAAGAAATCGACATTTCCCGCCGGTTGGGCAAATTTTAACGATGGCTTTTGTTTGTTTGTTTGTTTGTTTGTTTGTTTGTTTGTTTGTTTGTTTGTCTTGTTATGTCTATATAAAACACATTTCAGGCTGATTTTACTTGGAACGTTGATCAAAGGCAAAACGTAAATGTGTAGTTTTTCTGGACACCCAAGCTTTGGAAGTCACCAAACTTCGGCGGCCTTTTTTTTTTCTTTAATTTTTCCCTCCGACACCAGGCGATCCCCTCCTCCTTAAGCTGTAAATAGTTTGACTTCTGTTCAAGAAAGATGGGTATTTTAAAATCCTAAACAAAAGAAATGAATAAGCTTTAAAATGATACCAATAACTCCATATGCCCAAAACTTGACGAGCGTTTGATTCCACCGTGTCGTGACTCAAATGCAAAATTAACCACAACCACGATCGTCTGTTGTGAGGATGCAATGTCTGTACTGGCACTCTATAGTTATATCAATGCATGTAGCGGGCGAGAAATTATAATACGAGCTATCTCTAACACATGTTAAGATAATTTCATGGCGCACTGTGACGAAGCTGATAAAATGGCATACCTTTTTATAATTTCCCACCTTCTGAAGGGTAGATGTATCGCATACAACCGATACTTGCACCCAATGGCAGCATTCCTACTGGTGACGGGAATGGCTGACAGTAACTGCGCAATATCCATCTTGTGCAGACACTGCCTTATGACATGTTTATTGGGGTGAACGAATATAACATGTTGGCCTAAATGTGTCTGTTTCTCTGCTTTTGTAACAGAGTTCTCTATCTTATCAGAATAAATTTCGCGTGATTTTAGACTTATTTGTGTTTAATATCTCCCACTACCTCGCCCCCCTGCCCCTTTTTCCTTTTGATCCAGCCACTCTCTCCGTTTTGTATCAACATCGCAAATATTTGGGAAAATCCTATGAAAACAGAGTTGCCCATTTGATCTTGCAGAAGCAGCTAATGCAGACTTTGCTGAGAGCATCCAGGGCATACCCTAGTAACCTTGCAAAAGTACAGTTAAAGCAGAAGACATACTCTTTGCATCTGTTTAGTATTTTGGCAAGGGAAGCCGCGTATAGAATAAAACACTGAAACAGGCACCGGCTGAAACTGTTCTCCCTAGCCAAATAAGCTGCATGCTTACAATTTATTGTAAAGAATTCCAACTTTGCTGCAGTTTGTACAAAGGAGGTTAACTTTTGTGGCACTGTAAAGCTAACCAGCTGAAACCACATCCAAAGGAGAGGTACGCGATTTCTTCTGCAACAGCCCAACAAAGAAAAACATGTTCGTACAATGCGATTACAAAGACAGACAAAACCTCCCTTCTTTTCATAAATTCCTTACTTTGTAATAGAAGAGAAGATCCTAACGATAGACATAATCAATTAACGTTGAGGAAAGCGCGTCAAATAGAATGACTCCAACTGGCGTGCAGCATGTGTGCTAGGCTGCATGACGTGGAATAATGGCGGTCATAATCATGGCACACTTGCCACGATTTGTCATGTTTATATAGAGTCAATTCCATGTTGGAAACGCTTTCATGGGTCATTCCTGGCCGGGTTTTTGTCCAGGAGCATGTGAACCTT